GAAAATATTACTCATCAACTGTTGTTAAATTCAAAACCATACTTTACATAAAAATAATGACTAAAGTATCTAATTCCTTAGTATAGTTGTTAAATTATTGAGTTTATTAATTGTTTACAAATAATAACGCGGTACTTACATGTAGATGTACCATGTGTGCATGCTATTATATTATTATGCAATGTGTGCTATCATCGAAAGTACTTGTGTTACCTAACGACTTTGATGCTAAATTTGAGAAGATAATTTGCACGTACGGAGGTCGCACAGCTAAGCTACGTGTCAGCACAACTTGCTTGAACTTTTACAATGCATACAGGAACTTGCCAAGTTATTTCAAACACGTTTTTAATGATTATTAATTACAAAAATCGAATTCTAATTCTGTAAAATATCGTATATGCGAAATTGTGCATGGAGTTCCTTGCTCGTTCTTATGGAGTTTCTTTTTCGTTCTTCTCCATTCGAAACTACGCTTTGGAACGAGCGCCTAGCTTCACTGACAGACAGACCGACGAATGATTCAATTTTTGACGTTGGAAAAGTTAAAGGATTAATTGAAATAAATGCTTTGACTTTGACTCTATTTGTTTCCTATGCGAATACTTGCCTCTAAACCAAATGGCGCGCTGCGTGAGATCTATTACAGATTTTTGATGTACGTACTGTATGTAAATGTGGTCAAGCTCTTGACTTTCTTCTCCAAACTTACATATGGTAAACTCCATTAAACATTTCAACCAGATCCTACTAATATTATAAATTCGAAGATTGAAGATATTTGCAGATTTTGGGTGAAACAGTAACTGGCACAACTTAAGGATTGTGTGTTGTTATTTTTCGTTTAAAATAAGATATGAGATGAGGTACTTTTCATTCCGAGAAGGCGAGTACAGCCGCTGTGTTAGCAGAAGTTAGTTAAGAATAATTAATTGTTCACTTTCTTACCGTTATCGCTAAGTCACGTGTTCAATATAAATGAATCAATATCCATTTGTAACGTTTTTAATAGCTTTAAGTACTATAGATATCATTATGAACCTTTGTGAGGGGTGAGAATCATCAAATGAATTCTCCTGCCTTAGATGAAGCGGTAGGGAGTGTCAGACTCTTACTTACTAAACTAAAAACCACCCCGTTCCTACTCCTGTTCCGAGGCAAGGGCCCACATGGTCGTCCGCAACCCTATTCGGGCATCGGCTCTACTGGGCCTCATTTGTGGTGGTCTGATGGGTCTTTGGTGTGCGCGTGGCATGGCATCCAAGACCTACAAGCAATATTTAAAGTACTTTTGTGCGGAACATAAAATATTATACTGTCGTCCAATAGTAGGACATTGCACCAGTTGACGGTATCACGTCGCATGTTGACACTGAAACTACTTACTTATCTTTATCAAAATATTTGTTTTGTGACTCTATGACATTGTTTTATAGTATAGAACACGAGAATTAAACGAAATTATACTGAGTAGTTTAGTTGCTTCCTTAACATAGTGAAATGGTTATTCATAAAGAAGTTGGCTTACTGTGTTGAAATTACTTATAAGTATGTACGTACAAATAATTTTGGAGGTTATTAATAAAGAATTTCTTTATTTTTAAGTTTTTAACGTAGGTACATCACAACTTAATATTGATTTACAAGACCAATGTTTTTTAATTTAAACTATAAACACAGATAAATGGTAATTTTAAATTTATGAATTGTATTTATTTTAAAATGTAGGTAGATGATATTAAGGAGTCAGGAGACTATTATATTATTATAGAATATTGTATTCGGTCCAAACTAATCTCTAAATATCAAGATTTGCGAACCGTTACAATGGGGAATAGCTGGAAAGTAGTACAAAAAAACATTATCGGAGAAAAAGTGGAGTGCAACGTGTTATTGAGTATTTCTCACAATTTTATTTCCCTAAAATTTTGTTCTTAAACTAGTGTTTGCTTGTATACGTAGCTCTGTCCTGGATATAAATTCATGGATGTATTCTGTTTTAAGTACATCCCATTATGCGGGAATAGATGCTTTATTGAAGGGTACTCAGCCAATGATCGTTGAGGGTGTCGCGGAGAACCTAACGGGTTACCGGGGCTCCGGCTCGACGTGCAGGAGAAGGAACGGGGTGGTTTTTAGTCAGTAAGAGTCTGACACTCCCTCCCGCCTCATCCAGGCGGGAGCAGTCATTCGATGATTTTCCCCCCTTAAAAAAAAAATATAATTATGGTATATATACGGTAGGTATATACAGTGTATAAAGCTGATTGCGAAGTGCGACATGTCTTAGCTAGGCAATTAAAATATTCATTAGATTTATGCAACGATTACTTAATATAATTTATAACGATACCGGTATAGTTTATTTTATTTACGTGTGAACGAACATCCTCAATAATAAACGTTATTTTAAATAATAATGTATTTATTTCAATATAGGAATAACAGATACTATGTATCACATGACTGTAAAAGAACTTTAATACAATTATCCGCTCACAATTTATGAACACTTGAAAGTTTTATATCGAAGTATATAAACAAACATTCGTATAGTTGATGGCCACGTGTCTACAGTACGGAAGTGCCTAGGAATTAAAAGTGCGGGTCTAGGTTTAAAATAAATTAATGAATTAGTGTATTGACAGAAGATCGGGTGTAATATATAGTGTCGTTCGTCGGCTGGCTGTTGCGTTTATGGGAGACCATTGCTTATATTTTGTTACGAATGAGCCATTGTGCTCAACCATTGTTTGCCAACCGGGCCAACTGTAAGTAACTGTGCTCATAACTTCACGGCACCGTGTTAGGTGTGCCGCTTGATATCTCTAATTTAAAGTATGTAACTCAATAATAGAATGTGTTTGTCTGCCCATTATATTTACTATTCGATTCCCGGGACGGGCAAACTATTACTAGGTTTTTAAAAATTCTCAATTTTAGCACGGAGTCTGGAATTGTGCCCGGTATATGGCAATAGGGTCACCCCATGGGACTCATAACATAAATAGTGAAAAGTGGGTGTTACATTGTACAGCGGCATAATGTGCACCTCTGCCTACCCCTTCGGGGATAAAAGGCGTGATGTTATGTTATATTTACTACTTAGTAGCAAAACTTAGACTTGTCTTGCCTTGACTTTGACTTGACTTGTTTGTACAAGTTACAATTTCTAAGTAGTTAGTTAAACTAGCTGCAAAACGATGTTCATGCTGAATAGACATTGAAAAGGACGATAACAAAAAGATGGTCAGATTATTACACGAAGAATGATATGAAGGACAAGATTATGTAATAAAATGATATTTGAATGAAAAAAAAACACATAAAATTGATAATGAAAGAAAGAAAGAATGAGAAGAGATGATGTATATAAGCATTTTTTTTTAAGGGGGGAAAATCATCGAATGACTGCTCCCGCCTAGGTGAGGCGGAAGGGAGTATCAGACTCTTACTGACTAAAAACCACCCCGTTCCTTCTCCTGCACGTCGAGCCGGAGCCCGGTTACCCGTTAGGTTCTCCGCGACATGTATATAAGCATTAACCCGTGGTGTGTCTAAACGTGGATCCACGCGACACACAATGTATTTTCTATTGTGTCTCATATACATGCATTCAAGTGGTTAAACCAATTTACCAACATTTCGAAATATTATTATGATAGTGTTCAACATTATGAAATTCTTTTATGCTGTTCGTTTAGCTAGAGTGCTATGGGTATCACCTATAGTACTCTAGACCAGAGAGAGACATTGATTCGTAACAAAAAGAATACTTAGAAGTTATATAAAATACTCAAGGATGAGGCAAAATCAAATAATTAAAGCTAAATAGTGGCAAAACTTATATTTACATCTGTAGAACTACTACTTAACTAACAGCCGTTTTGCTTTGCCATTTGCATTTTGGCCATACGTAGCTTATTGTAATTACACCACGACATCATATTTTCAGGAGGCGGAACTAAAAGAAATATTAGCATGCGTGTATTACAATAGTTTTGAAAAAATATGTATGAATGGAAATGTAACTTTTGTCACACATACTCATAAGTATCTATTCATTTTTTTGAATTAGTAACAAACAGTACCTGCCTTCCTACATATTCGCATATTTAAGTGTGTAATTTAAATTTCAAGCATTTACATACTTAAAACATAATATTAGTAGTCGGCATATGTTATGATTAGTTATTAATAAGAAAATGTTTCTCTTCCACTTTATTTCATTTCTTATACAAGTCCTTGAATTTCAGTTATTATTCCGCGTTAGTTTTCTGATAACATGCGACGACGTTTGAACTGGCAATTTCGTACTTACACGAACGCTCGTAAATCTATCTCATTTCCTTTGATTGTATCGATTGGAATATCGATAGTTTGAATCGATTAAATACATGTTTTTGTAGGTATTTACCTATGTATTTTCATTGTTACAGGAACTTATCAGGCACCCATCTTCCATGCCTCAGGAACATCGAGAGATAAGCATACATGAGGGAGGCTGGGTGAACAGACACTTCCCCACCTAGTTCAAGCTGACATCCAGTGTGGAAACACACAAAAACAAATTAGTTTAAAGATATAGATATAAGCTACCAAAATGCAGTTCATACGTTCCTTTTTCAAGCGAATAACAGATGATCTCAAACAGAAGAAATTAATTCCATTAAAAATATTGTTTTTCGTACATGCGTCGAGTAAGTATTGATAACTGTATACCATATATTTATTTTTCTTTATTTAGTTGTGTTAATGTTTGCTCATATTTTTTACTTTCTTGCCAGTGCTTCTAAGTAGTTTGTTTGTGTAACCGCAAGCGTATTTCCCCATACAGCTATTTTTAAATTTACCGGTAAAGCTCTCAATAATGTTGTGTTGCACAAAAAATCGCACTTCTAGTTACTTGAGTTTTGATGGATCATTTAACCAACCAATGAATTAAACGTACTACTTTGAGATCGTTTACAATACAAATAAATTAGTTTTTAGACATCAAAATGTGTAAGTTCAAAATGTATTGAAATCTTTGGACTCCGTAGCGGGTGCTACGATATTATTGCTACGGCGCAAATTACGCATTTTATGCCTTTTCATTTAAAGGCCGGTTGCGATTTCTGTTTGTCTGTGCGAATAATTTGATACATTTTCTATTCAAAATTGTCAAACATGTATCAGTTAAGCTAAACAGCACTAACTGAGCCAGACATTGGAAAAAGCATAAATAGGGTTTATCATCAGATTTTCAGTTTCTAAGTTGTCATATTAATTGCATAATGTATACTAGCGTGTTATGAATCTAGCAACAAAATAGACTAGATATTTAATGGAACTTGTATCTCGAGATTACCGATGGATGAGTGTTGATATTATATTCATGGTTGTCAGGCTTGACAGGCGCGTGTAATTAATATTGCAGAGTTAATTTAGTGTAGAGCTAATAAACATAAATAACTAACTACACAGTTAAAAGCCTGCATAGTTTCTGTGCCTATTATGACCTATATACTGTATATATTGTACTGTACCTAATAGAGAAGATGATCGACAGTAAACGTGTATTTTCTCCTTTATTGTTTTTAAGGGGTTTTTGTCCACATGGATAGCCCCATCGTAAACATAACATCACGCCTTTTTATCCCCAAAGGGGTAGGCAGATGTGCACATTTCGGTACTTAATGCTACTGTACAATGTAACACTCACTTTTCACTATTTATGTTATAAGTCCCATGTAATAGGGGGTGAGCCTATTATTATATACCGGGCACATTTCCAGACTCCCTTCTACTACTGAGATTTTTAAAAACCCAGTAATACTTTGCCCGACCCGGGAATCGAATCCGAGACCCCTTGCCCGGCAGTCGCACTTGCGACCACTCGGCCAACGAGGCAGTCAATATTAAAGTTTTATATTAAAATTGAGTCTGGTAAAATCACCTCTAATTTAATTGAACTAATAAAAGTGGGTTACAACGTTAGATGACCGGGATGACCCTATTGTAAATATTGTTGGTAGACTGTGGTTTCTATAGACAAATTAAAAGTATAGTTTTCATGTACTTAAATCTTGTTGTACGTATTTAAAGGAAGAGTAGTTATGACTGCACGGTTGGTGCGGTGGCTGGGCAACTGGCTGTCGTGTAACGTGTCGCGGGTTCGATTCCCGCACGGAACAACACTGTGTGATCCACAAATTGTTGTTTCGGGTCTGGCTGTCATGTGTATGTGAACTTGTATGTTTGTAAACGCACACACGACACAGGAGATAATTCTAGTGTGGGGCAACGTTTCTTTTAAGTTTTTTTTTTGTGGTGAGACTAATCGCGTAGTATACATTGACTTTGACCTATACATTTTGCTTTTTATGTCTTATGTTTTCTATGAAACAGCCATGAACAAATAATACGCTGAATTAAAAAAAGGTTTATTTCTATGATTCATAATTGGTTGGTTAAATGACTAAAAAAGTGATATCTTACGCTCAATCATTTTTTTGTACATTACCCAAAAATGTTAGGATGGACGAGCAATGATTTTTATCAAGCATGTAATGCCCCAAGTATTGCAGGCGTACATAGGCCACGGTAACCGCTTACCATCAGGTGGGCCGTGTGCTTTTTTGCCACCGTAGTGGTATAAAAAAATATCTTTGATTGGAGTACAAATACATGTTAGATTACTAGACAACTTAAACGTCATCATCGTCATCATCAGCCTCTTCTCAATCTTACAGGGAGTTTACCATAATCCCTACGCTTACAGCAGCTTGAGGATTATACCATTAGGTCACCAAGAATTTAGCAGATTCTCGTAGAACTAGTCCCTCTGTATCTAGTCGCAATTGGGTACTAGCCAACTAGTCAAATTCAATACTTTTTTCGAATTTTGTAGTCGACAGTTTTCTATGTATTTTGTACAAGATTGTGTATTGTGACGTCACGTTTTTTAGAGTCACTTATTTCTTAAAAATAGCTGGAAATATACTAATATTAAGTTGGTCATAAAACCAATTAACGAAATTATGATTATTTTTTATAATTTATTGTATTGAACAGTCGTAATAATTTATTTTTGATGAAGGCAAGTACCCAATTGTACTTAATTAAAGAAGACAAATATTAAGCTGTCTTATTATACAATTCACTAGAATAGTCAGATATACGAACATTGCATACTATAGAGCTGCTATACTCAACCTGCAATCCGTTGGATTTTGATTATCTCACTTGAAGTTCCTATGCTCTGTTCTATTTTCAATTTCGCGCCTGTACGAGAATGACTGATTCGGGGGTGGGAGTTAAACGACAAAAAACTAGCTAGTCATTTCTAATGATCTTATGTACCTATAAAGCTAATACATTTAACCTAATAATTTTACGCTTGAGGCCCGAGATCCCCAGTAAAACTGACTGACTGAAATGTTTTGTCGCCCGAGTAAAAAAAGGTAAAAAAATATCTAATCGTAGCATAGTAACCATACTTTCATACTAAAATACTATAGAGGCTACGATAATTCATTTTACTTTATCTTCCTTTGTATTAAGAGTCATATTTTGCAGCTCTGTTCGTGCTGTACCCGTACCTGACAATCCACATGAGAGAGCTGGGCATAAATGTGGAAGAGACGGCCATCATGTCGGCGGTGACGCCAGTCGTCTCCATCGTCATGCCACCCCTGGCTGGCATGCTGGCTGACAAGATTGGCAACTTCAGAGTAAGTGCACACATGTTTTAAACAATGTCATATCGTGGCTAACAAATACGTTAATTTTTAATTGTGAAGCGTATCTACATTGTTCCAATTTAAAATACATAGTCTTTAATAGAAAACCTGTTAAAAAAAACAATTCATGCTTACAGAAAACCTTCGCATTTGTTCAGATCGTACCTCCGATTATAGTTTCCAAGTTTCATAAAGAATAGGATCTTTTGAATATAGGGATGACCTAGTTTTTCAAAAGATAAAGTTTCGGTAGCAATAGGTATCATCCCTTAGGGACCTTAGGGAGCTTATATAAATTCAGTCTCAAAGCTACTGTTCCACCAAAGACGTCCAAATTGAAAACTCAATAGTACCTTTTTCTCAGTCTTCGATTGGGGATTCGGGCTCAGTATTAATACATTTTTAAAAAGCAATCCTAAATTCTTTAGTCGCCTGAGTATTTTTTTAGGTAATTAGGTTTAGTGCAGACATAATGTGTTTCGTTCGTTAAGTGCTTGTGTAGTCACGAATTCCTTTTAGGTCAAGAAAATCAGTTATCAAAAAAATATTATAACATATAACATCACGCCTTTTTATCCCAGAAGGGGTAGGCAGAGGTGCACATTTCGGCACTTAATGCCACTGTACAATGTAACACTCACCTTTCACTATTTATGTTATGAGTCCCATGTAATAGGGGGTGATTAAGTCAATTAGTTAAATCAGTTTGACAGTTTATGGTATTTTATCCTTGTCAAGTATCCAGCATTCGTCATACGGATATTTAGCTGTCATTACGAGTAATCATAAAGTTATTAATGGATTATTTCAAGATAAGGTGATAATATAGGAAGGGTAATTAATGCTACAAATATAATTATCTACCAACACAGAACTTACTGTAACCTAAATTTAATTTAACGTAATGCTAATCTTAACACCATTGGACAAACATTTACTAAACAGTAATCGGGTCGAGTATAGGGTACATTAAGTACGACCTAATGAGTTAACCAATTAACTTAAATAGTATTTGAAGAAGTTATTTAAGGAACAGTGTTTAGAACGCTTATAATAGTCATACAAGGATTATTAGTGTACTTTCAATATCGACCATATATGTACAGCAAAATAGGAAGAGATATTAACCAGTCAACTAGGTACTATTTACTGATGACAACTACATTAGGTACCATCATTATAGTGACATCTCAATGTCGTTTCAATACGGTGCTCCCAAATTTTTACCAAGTACGCAAAATCTCTGCTGTCATTCAGGTTCATTGTTATGATGATATGTAGACTTAATTAGAGTAGGCCTAGCGAACACAGTTCATTCAAATGCTAATCTAAACGCCCACGGTAAGCAATTTTAGTGGGAGGCTGTGGCTGTATTGAATCTCATGAAATATAAGTAGACGTAGATGAAGCCCTATTACAGTTATTAATCGTCAGATAATTCTAGACATATCTGAAACTGATGGTATGTTAATTGATATGTTAAATAATAATACCTTACATTCAGATAAAGCTCCACTAGCATTAACTACAGGAGAGCATATAAGTACACAGGTACAAGTGGAATGGCTAGCAATGAATAAACTAGTTAACTCATTTCCTAAATTAAGGTGTCATTTAATCCGGTTACCAATTTTGGGTAATTTTGGCAGTGAACCTATTTAGAGGCCCTAATCTGTTTCATTATGTGACCAACCTTTGTTGTGTGAACCGTTCCGCTGCTATATAATCAAGTTAATCCACAACGTCCGTAACGCGAATAAAACCAATTCTGGCAACAATAACCTTTACCTTGCATTGTGGAGGCATCGCGGACAAATTGTCGCTGGACCGACACTGGTACATACAGCGTCAGCGTACAGGGTGTCCTGTGTGCGTCAGTGCATCGACTTGTAGCCCGGCGGAAACGATTGTTCAACGTGTATAACAATCCCACCATGTCGACATAAGAAAGGAGAGTCATACTTTAGAAACTATTTAATAAAGTTTCAAAAGTAGCGTCTAACATGTTATAATAAATTTAGGCCTGACGCCGGCGTAACTATTGGTCTGATGACGAAGATACAGATGAATAGACCAACAGAAAAGGAACTCAGTGCGTTAGTGTCAACGTAATGGTTTCCTGACCAAAAGCGTGCCGCTATATTCGTTGCTATCGTCACTGCATCAGTAATTGTGTCATTAATTTTCTGTGACACGCATACCTTTGTCTTCCATCGCAAAACATTTTCTTCATCGTGGGAATTTAATTGTACATTAGCGTCGACGTAGGCATCTATCTATTAGCTAGTAGTACCTAGTCATACAATGATAACTGGGTGCGTGCCTTGTGTTCCGGTTGCGAGCGTGCGCCCGCGCCGTGCCCTCGAACGTCTCCATTCTCGGATGACATTTGAATTACGACTACAATTGCATCTAAAATCGACCGTTTGACGTAGTTTTGCTGATCATGGATAATAAGTATGGCATCCTGTTTATCGGCCAGAATAATGTAGCCACTGTTTGTCATTAACGTTTTCATTTAGACTACCTGCGCTTATTAACTGACTCGGTGATCTAACCAGCAGATGTAGATATATTACGGAAACTGAACTCTTTGGTTCTATTTTAAATTTGGTTAATTTGCTGCGAAATAAATATCAATGAAAGCAAAGACTTTATGTTTAGTTTAAACTGGCTCAAGATTTCCTGGGAGGTGATAATTTTTGATATTAGATACCACAAAACACGTGTTTTACAAAGTTACATCAGGTAAATACAAATAAATAAAGCAAATAAGTGGACACATAGCTGTCAATGGCTCATTTAAGATTTAGATTACCTACATTGTTAACATAAGTGTAAACTACGTATGAAGGAAATAATTCTGAAGATATCAATTAGCGACATATAATGTGTTTACTGGAATATCTGTCTAGAACATTATGTCTTGTTTATACATTATATTACTTACCATCTATACAATGTAGTACAGGTTTCTTAAGTACCTATGCACTTGCTAATTCACCTCCATTAAGCAGTACAGTAGTTCTAAGATACTACATAATTAGTGCTTTGTGATTAACTGTTCCAAGTCAAATGTTTAATTACAAATGATTACATAAACAATAGTCCACAGCTCACTACTCTGTACGCTATAATTAGGTAATTAGACATAGACATGATTCAAAGACATGCAATAACTGATGTCCTAAGTCGATGTTAGCAGTAGAAAGCTTAGTGTTTTGCAACAAACAATTGTACTACTATCAGATACATAAGAGATATTATAATTTATCAAAATAAGATTGGATGGCTTGAACTTTCTAAACATCTTTAGTAAAGCTATTGTGTGAAAAACACCATTGTTTTAAATTGTACACTTTTTGTTAGTTACTGTTGGCGCTGTCGTCGGCTCTGGGCGGTGCTTCAGCTCTGTTGTTGCTGGCAGTCCCAGTGGGCCGCATCACCGTCACCTTCCCCCCCGCTGTGGAACTCCTCACTACTTGTGAAGACTCCACTATGAGGTTGGGACTCATGAAGGATTATCCCTGCCTACCACTCCACCCCTACTCATATGATATCAATTTGACGTGAGTTTATAAACCATATATTTATTGAAGGATTGTTTGCCCCCCTTATATTTTAATAAAATATTTTATTATATTACAGGGTCCTCTCATGTGGTTTTGTTTGTGATTTACCTAAGGATATTACAACAGATGAGACTAATGCTCTAATACACACTAATTCCTACGACATACACCTGCAATCCACTATTGACTCGCAGCGCCTCGTGTATCGTCACACAGTAATGGCGCAACTTGCCCAAACAATGATTCCGAAGAAGGACCAGAGCACCTCGCGTATCTTGACAAACGATCCATTCTTTAACACCACCATATCTAAAGTATCGGATCACACGATATTCTTCCCAGCACCAAAATTGTACCAAATAGAATGCAGTCACGAATCTACGAATGAAACTTGTTTATTTGGTAAAGACGATATATTCAATGAAACAGAAGATCACCTTGACGAAGCGATACTTCGCATGAGGATATCTCACGACGTGCAAACTGCACCACACGATATAGGAATTACTGGGTAAGAGCCGTCTCTACCGACAATAACTTCACAAAAGATGACGACTACGACGGTATCGACGGTGTTTCATGCAGCGACAATTTTGTGAGTATCTAAATATTAATCGTTTTGCTTCAAAGTTATTAAACAAACATGTGGTTATAATGTTAGTATGTCATGGTTGGTTTGTGATTGTTGTATGTACAAATGTACATACTAAAATTGTCAATTGCTTTTAAAACAATTTGAAGTGATAGATTGAACACATTACATATGATAACATCGTCAATTGTTTACCAGGGTCAAGATGGAGGAGTTCGAGTGCAGGCAGGGTCGCGAAAATTATCCGGATGTCGGGCGGCGTGCGCTGCTTCTACGCCGCGCAAGAGTCTCTGCGAAAATACTCAGCAGCAAATTGAACTGGATCCAGCGTTCACGTTCTGGGCATACCTCGCTGTAAGTGACTGTGACCTCTACACCGTTGCATAGACGAACTTGCCGAATTGTAGACGTCTGCCTCGTCTAAGCGGAATTTGAGGAAGAAGTAATAAACGTTAATAAAGCTGAAGGTGGATCATGATTACCTAATTCCAGTTCTTACTTACATACGTATACGTAACGAATAAAATTTGTAGTGAGCACGTGGAGCTAACGTAAACTCATGCAGATTGAGCGGATCCGTTGATGGAAAGATTGCCGTCTAATCGTCGCTAACTGGGTAATGGCGAACTTGATATAGTGAGTGGCGACACTGACGACCCGACCCATTGCGCGTGTTCCCATTCCGTCTGCCAGTCTATCGACTGCGCCCAACATCCCATTACCACTGAACACTGACTTTTTACCGCCATTTCTATGAAGGTGAAAGAAAAATGCAACAACATGGCTTTAGTTGATTAATGATCCCAAATCAAGTATAGAAACTGAACCTGACTTGTAGATGTTGAAAAACCTGAGTTACATGCGTAACTAATGTTATAGATACGATGCAATATTAGCCACCGACGAAACGTTGAAACTTTATTACTTAGGTACAAGCTTACAACATTGTTGAAATATCACATTTCATTATAATTTAATCAATTCGTAGACGGTCGTAAACTTCCGCGTGATTTTCGAATTCTCTGTTTTATAAAGCGCAGGAATTAATGTCGGTATCTATAATAATAATTTGATGTTATATAGTGTTGAAATTGGCCATAAAAATAATCAAAGATGATGGAGGTCAAGGGTTTTTTTTACCTAATTTAAGTCTTCTTCGCCTTTCGTTACCGTAAGGTCAAATGACAACTCTATTGTTTTCCATAGTCTCTGTTGATCACTTAGGTAAAGGATGCAGACACAATCAATTTTTAGTTGCAAATCCAAGTAAATAGGGAAAATGTAGTCTGACTTATCAAACCCAGGAGTTTAGTGGTTAATCACTGAACCAACCAAATATCAATATCCGAATACTTGTTACATAATACTCGGAAGGTAATAATATGTATCTGCAATGATATCTTTGCTACATTTACATTAAAGTTTTAATATCATGTCGACCTTTATATGACTGTAAATATTAGCAATACAGAGGTGAAAGGATTAATAAGATTGAGGCAAACCTCCCCTTATCATTTTTCGTTCGTCAAAATCTAGTAGTTGTCGGTGGTAAAGGTGGTTACAACCTTTGTAGACCGTTGATGGATGTGTATATATCAGTATATTAATGTATGGTTAATTTATTTCCGAGCTTAGGCATATACAACGTCAGTTAATCATTGTTTTGCAATGACATCGGCAAGTCTAGTGGCCTTGTCCTCAATATGTGAGAGCTTAGTTACCCACACCACGTACTCACATGCGTACTATGAGAACATGTAAACACTGAACAGGTATTGTTTATAACCCTGTTAATATGACGACTGTCTTTGAAAATATAGCCAATCGATTGATTTTGTCAATGTCGCGGTCATGATCTGTTGTTTAGTACCATTTGAGACAGCCTTTATCCCAGCCGATTGCTTCTTCTTCTTGTACCCAAATGATTTCATCTTTTCCAAGTTCCATTTGAATAAGTATCTTTTTTGACTATCCATCGAAAAAGTAATTACGTAGGTATATAGTATGTAAGTACATACATACAATAGGCATACATCCGTCAATTGCTGTTTATATTGATATTTACCCAGTCGGCTACAAAATAATATTAATGTCATTTTAAGTACACGTAACCTACTTGCGTAAAATACGCAAGCTAGGTAGATCGTTAATTACAATCAGAGTAAATAAAAATGTTGCTCGAGATCAAATGTTTTACTAATGTACAAAAGTACCAAAGAAAGCTATTTTCTTAGAAATTATTATAATACAGGAAATTAGAACCAAAAATAAGATAACAACAAACCTTATTATTTTCGTAAAGATAATATTTTGTATTTTCCCCGAGGTTGTTACATAATTATGGAAATAGATCCGTTAGTATGTACTTGAAGCGGTGTTTTACGAACATCATTATGAATTATACTTCATGTACCTCTATACGTAGGTATATTTCTCAATCAATCAGAACATGTGTAAATTCATTAATCATGGCTCCATTGCAAAGCATAATGTATTTTTTCACGTGTTTCTGATAACAGTATGCGAGTAATATAATCTAAGTAAGTTAAAAACATTTATTAAATAGCTCTTTATGATTAACGTTTAAAGCACTTTATGCAACTATGGGTATTTCCTTAATTGACCAATAAACTAAAAAAAATATTTTTATACCTCTCAGGTGCGAGTGTTCATCGGTATCATTGGCGGGACAGCATTCGCGATGTTCGAAGGAGCTGTGATAGCCATCGTGAGGAACAGAAGGCGGACTATGGTCTGCAGAGGGTGTACGGCAGCATCGGAGGGATGATCTCTTCACCTCTCTCTGGATTACTGATTGACTATGCTAGCCGAGGAAAGGGATATACCGACTTCAGGTACCTACCTATTTACCTTATTTGTTAACAGAATTTCCTAATGTACAAAGTTTAATTACAAGACCAGGAAAACATGTTTTTAAAGTTTCGGCACATCAAATTTTGAAAGTTGTCTGCAAAGCTTAGTGAGTTATCCGTATTTACTGCTTGTAACACAAACCAATACGCATACCTACTAGATTTTTTACATTGTGAAAGTTCAAATAAAAAGCATACCGACTATATTCTGCTGACGAATGCATGGGACGTCCAATGAATCATTCTGCAATCCTTAATATTTGCTATAAAATATTGTTAAAATGTACTACGCGTAAATTTTTATGAGTAATAGGCCATTGTTTTGCCCACCGTCGCTTCAAATCTTTGTTGATTTGTTTGATTGCAAAATATAAGCGGGGTCATGGAGTAGGTTGAGGCAGACCGTGACCGCTGTTATATGTAATGCACGTTGTCCATACAATATTATACGTACATATTGTGAACCACTGACAGAATAACAATCATCATGTGCTTAACGCAGGAATTTAGAGTTTATTATAGATAGCATTTGTGTTAAAAATGATGTCAAAAACACGATGTTTGTAGTATTCGTTTAAGGAATGATCATCACTAGGATACCCTTTGTAATTTCAAGGTTCTTGCTTCGAGAATTAGAGGAGATTGGAGTCTAATCTTCCCATCGTTCCTTTAATTCTATGTTATGTGTCTAGACTTCAAGAGACTATGACCTTTGAGTTTGTTTTCGTATTTTTTCTTTAAATATGAAGTGAAGAATAGCCGACCACGTCTACCTACTTTTTATTGCTTCTTTCAAGTGCTAGCACCTACCAAAATCGATAAATCATTAAAGAAAAGAATTTTTGGAATTTTGGACGCAGTTTTAATACGATAAAGTAAAATCAGTTCACAAAAATGTTTTGCATTGCCGGGGCATAGCCTAATCGTTAAGTTTAGCAGTATTAGTCTATATGGAAATTACATAATCTGTATTTGATTCAGTTGTAGAAAGTTCAGCCTTCAAATTGTGGTTTGCGCAACATCCGATGTTTTAAAAGACACAACATTGGTGTTGCAAAGATCGTTTATTATTGATCTGTACTCATGCAATAGGCGCCAGTAATAAACTCTTTGTTCATCTATTGAATGTTAAATATATCTAGAAATAAATGCTATATACTGTGATAGAGCCATGCTTCGGCGCGAATGGGTCGGCTCGACCGGGTTGAGACCGACGTGGAACAACGCTTGCGTTGTGTTTCGTCGTGTGAGTGAGGTTACCGGAAGTTGAATTACCACTCTCCCCCCTTCCCCAATGTTTAATCCCTGAATCCCCAATAATCCTCAAATTCCTAATACCCAAAAGGCCGGTAACGCACTTGTAACGCCTCTGGTGTCCCAGGTGTCCATGGGCCAGGTCGATATTGCTTAGCATCAGGTGATCCGTATGCTCGTTAACCGGCTTATTCAATAAAAATAAAAAAAACATTAAAAAGATGTAGTAAGATTGGTGTGATATAGTAGATATGCAACCCACGATGACACTCCAAATTAGATTTCGAGAAAGCTATGTTCCTATTTATCCGGAATATACTCATGTTATTTAAACTTATTTAGTGTTTCGCTTGTATAACATCCAGCATTTTTATTAATGCACACAGAATGTATTATTAGTTATGGGTTCCATAATCTCGTTTCCTTAATTTGTAAATCAAATTCGGGTTCAGCAAACGAGCTTATCATAATATGTCAGTTAAACAATAGTAGACCGAGGTAATCAGAGCTGAATAAGTTTCCACACAGTAATAAAACCTATGTAAGTAGCTAATGCAAATAGAATTATGGATTTATGAGAATGTTAAATTATAAGTATCAAATTACATTACAATAAAGAGTCATAAAGTAAATAGGAACGACAATACTATTCTGTATTATGCCATATATGAAGGCTTACATTTACGTACATGTGGGTAAATATGTATAGTTGTGATTTGATGACTAAGGTGTCTAAGGTTTGCACAAGTGATTGGCTTTATTTGTTTTCTACTATTGTTAGACTGTTCATCCGGGTAAAACCTAAGAAATTATTATTATCGTATTATCGACAACTATTTTACGATAAGGAGACGAATTTGTAGATGTTTGCCTAAATATAGAAGGTAGTCAATGAATAATTTAAACTTTAAAAGTGAGGTTTTTTGATTACGAAGTTATTTTTAGTTACATTAAGATTTCTCCGGAACTGTAATCTACTATTTTGTATAATAGTTGACGAAAAATGTCTACCAGTTCAGAAGTCGTATTAAAATGTGTATACTTTTCCGAATATAGGCAGGAGGTTTGATTAATGATTACGAAAAATTAGAACTTCTATCTTTTGTTTTTTAGTTAGTTCAAGAAAACTTCTTGTAAAGACGATGCTTTAAGTAAACATCGACTTAGTTTTAAAGATAATAATATAATAATAGTTCTTATTTCTAGTTCTTATTTCTTGATACTGATATATGTTTATGCGTAGCTATTTCTTGATAGTAATACTGGTAATAGATATGCAAGCGGTGGTCGTGGTTATTATTGTAATTACAGATCGCACTGGTGTTCGTTATATAATATTGTCGAAGACGCTGTTTCTAGTCACGACTGCTTATCAACAAGTATGTTGTGTATTCTCTCTGTCTACAGATACACCAATCGCCAATACGTCCACTATCCAATTGTTCATAATGTACATTAGATTTTTGGAACATGAACATGAAATGATGACACCTCCTCGAAAAATTTGTGGTGCTTCTCACTTAAGTTATTCTTTAAGGGTTAAGCGAAGTTACTATAAGCTATTATTATAGTTATCTAAAGATAGATAGGCCACGCTAAAGGTTAAAGAATAACCTAGAATTTTAAAAAATGTCTTTAGGTAACAAATATTTATAAGGTATTATGTCTTTTATTTCCAGACCAGCGTTCTACCTGTACGCAGTCTTGAAAGTCGCTTCTGGAGCTCTGATGTTGAGCATAGACTTGGAGTTCAAGCAGCCAGCACAGAATCTACTGGAAGATGTCATCTCTGTGTTTAGGAACGTTGAAATTGTTGCGCTGTTTATTGCGTGCTTCATTATGGGTAAGAACTGATATTTTTATTAAAAGATCCAGATGGTATTGTGTCAAAGATCCAGTGTGTTTTAATTTTACTTTTTAAGCTTGTTCATCTTAGTACCTACCCTTGTCGTATGGGTATTGTAGAAATGGAAAGGATGAAAGAGAAAATAGGCAGGTAAATGTAACGATAAGAGATAATGGATTTCTGCGAATTCATTTGTGAATTTATGAAATTTTTTTGATCCATTGTTCAGCTATTGTGATTATAATCACGTCTTAAAGTATTATACGTACCTACAATAACAAGCTATAATTCTCAAAAATGTATTAAAGTTATTTCATTTATTTATTCAGTTGGGTTTGTTCGAAATCAGTTTAATTGTCTTGCGATGACTAATAACGTTTAAATTCTTTATTCGAGTATTTTTCTACGATTTTCCTTTAAAACTATTATAATATGAAACAATGAAATACCTCACTTTACTTATCATAAATTGTAATTATTTTTCAGGAACGGCATGGGGTTACATTGAGAGCTTCTTGTTCTGGCTGCTACAAGATTTAGGAGCGTCCCGTTCCCTGATGGGCATCACTATAACTGTTGGAGGTATCGCTGGTCTGCCACTCCTCGTACTCTCGGGTCCCATTATCAGGAGGCTGGGACACGCTAATGTGCTCTTCATCGGATTCATCTTCTACGCTATAAGATTGCTCGGTAAGTTTTAAGATTATTTTTTACGTTTTACAAGTTATGGTATTACACAACCGCTAACAACCATACAAGACGTATATTACCTATCCAGACAATAATGTTGACTGGCTTATATAAGTAAAAGAATATAGATATTATTGAAGAGCTAAAAAAAATCTGTCTGTTCGTTAATATTAGTTAAGAAGAGAAATTGTTAAACACACACATCCTACTTAAGCTATTAGCTGCTAACAATAACTTGAGAGACACTCATACAACTAGTTCCGTGCAATCTTTTGTGTCCTCATCACATCAAATTAGCAATTGTTAAAAGGCAACTACCTAATTGTCGTGATTAGAATTAAGATCAGTTCAAAAGCGATTGAACTCGAGGTTAGCAGTAGATCGACTCGTTCAGTGACTATGTAAGCTGTGGTTCCACTTTCACCGCTTGGATTCGTTTCCCATTTACTGATTTCCCTTTTGTTTCTAAGAACTTTCCTAAATGCAATTCAAGGTACTTTATGTGTCTAGCATTAGGCGTTTAGATGTTATGAATACTAAAATGATTTTGGGCAAATATACACCATGTCAGGACAAATGGACTAATTAGAAACATTACTACTTAATAAGTAGGTACCTCCGTTGAGTTAACGTACTTTCAAATCGTGAACCGAGAAACGAATCAGGAACCAATGAGAGCATGAGAGTACTCATAGGTTTGGCAGTAGACCATGTTATTTCATTGTCAATAGCTGATTGTTACTTTAGATTTTCTTTGCGGATGCAGGACCTTCCTACCTTATTTTCCTTTATAGTCTAAATTATACTTGCGTTGACTCGTTCTTATGTAACTACTTTATCTTCAGGTTACTCGCTGATCTACAACCCTTGGCTATGCCTGGTGTTCGAAGCTCTGGAGTCTGTGACGTCATCATTATCCTTCACTGCAGCGGTGACGTATGCGGCCCGTCTCTCTTCTACTACCACTGATACTTCCGTGCAGGGACTTCTGGGAGGAATCTACTATGGCGTTGGTATGTTTCGTATTTATATCTATGTATCCCTTTATGATTCCTTGTGTTTATAAAGGGTTTGGTTGCACCAAGAAAGCTTGAGTTTTTTATTTCCGCTCGGAACAAACATTTTATGGCGGGTTAGAGCTTGACAGCAAGTTGCAAAATCTACATATTGATAAAGCTTTGGGAAAACGTATGAAACAAATATCTTCTTTTTCTTCTTATGGTGCCACTTCATTCTTGAAGGTTGGCCGTGAACTTTAACAAATATAGAGAAGATAATTATGTATTGTGTCCAATGGGACTAAGTACTAACTAGATAATACGTAGTCAATTTTGTCTACTTTTTATAGTAAAGTTAATAAATAAATCTATTTCGGAAGTATTTTTATAGCTAGAAAAGGGTCATTGCTAGGCATTAATTAATATGCTAGTTATGAATGCACACAATAGCATTGTCGTATCCTGTGGGTGACCTTCATTTAGCTTTCTTACCATATTCACATACCATAATTACTCATCGACATCATACCCTGCATGTGTGTGTACGTACATAGCGTAACTTCAAGCTCCCTCTAGGAGTAAGTAGGGAAAATTGATTTTCGTCTTTTATGTTATTATGTCTTTCTATTAAACCAAATATTCCAGGATACGTGGATAAATTAAGTGACTTAGATATTATAAAGTAATTCATCAAGTATGGGTAAGAAAGTAAGTAATTTTGTAATCGTTCATAAATTTTTTTAATTTTAAATATTTCCATAATGTATTTTACAGGCAAAGGAGCTGGCAGTCTTATCGGCGGTTACCTCATGAAGTTCTTCGGTACCAGACCGACCTACCAAATATTTGCCGGTGCGACGTTCATCACTGGTTGCATTTATTATTTATTCAATAAATTCTACTTACGGAAAAGGGCAGTTAGTTACGACGATGACTTTTGTAAGAAGAAGCAAACACCAGCTGATGTTGAGGGCAACGAGACTAACAAAGATGGCGATAAAACTGTGCCACCGATAGATGTCGCTAGCAAACCTGAGGTTAAACTAGAGAACTCTGTTGTGGACAAAGTGAAGGAGCCTGACTCGAATCGTGCGAAGTTAGTGCCTGACAATGCAGATGGCGGTAGTGACTCCGGAGTCGACAATCCAGCATACAATGAAACTGAATCATCAGAAAATAGGAAAGAAGAAAGCAAAGTACCCGCTGTGTGATTCTCACATACAAATTAGTTCGTAAAAGTGTATTAGAAGTCGCCTCGCGACTGTTATAGCAATAATAACTATAATAATAATAGTTTTAAGCCGAGTTTAGTTTGTAATGAGCCTCTACACCTACATTAAGATTTATTCCGAGCTGTATTATAGGTATCTTCTTTTGAAAGCGTAAAAATATTGACATTGCATTCAGATTGGGAGCATTGATATTGTACCACAAACACAATAAAAGTAATTAAGTAATTTGTTATTGTAAACTTTAAAATAAGTAATTATAATGTTGTTATCATCCATGTCATGTTTAAATATTAGTTCAAAGTGTAAGTAGTTAATAAGAAATCACACAATTTAATTGTGTTCCTATTGTTTAAGTACCAGAGCAGTGAGTAATACAAATTGATGAATAAATTATAATAGATTAATAATATTTATTAATTAAATATTGTTATTTTATTTGGGTTTTGTTTTTCTTCCATAAATCATATGAAAATAGCGACTGTACATTATACTAGCCCTTTAATTATTGAATAAGTAGGTACACCTTAAAGTCATGATATTTCAAGCTAACCACACAAAAACATTTTAATATAAAAAATTGAATCAAAACCAAAAATTATCAGAATGACTTTATTTTGAGTTTACACGTTAAATAAACTTGTCATTGTAGTCAATAGGAACAAAAAGGCACTGAAACTGTCAAAGACTGTAAAGGTTCCGCTATCCCTACAACGTCCCGAGCGTACGGCGCGTCGCGTTCGCCATCAGACCACCACGGATGGGGCCCAATAGGGCTGATGCCGATTCGGAGTCGCGGAGAACCTAAGGGGCTACTGGGGCGGGGTGGTTTTAGTCAGTATGATTCTGACACTCCCTTTCTCCTCACCCAGGCGGGAGAAGTCATTCGATAAATTTCCCCCTTAAAAAAATCCCTACAACGTACCTCGATAGTATACTATACTATACTAGTGCCAATAAGTACCATATTAATACTTGTAATGCAGATCTTTTCAAAAGATGATTATAAAAAATATTTTAAGTAATCCTGACAGTTTGACACCTGAGTTGCATCACGAGCCGTCTGCCCATATTTCAGTATGAACTCTGGTTATGTCAACGTAACACTATGTTCGATAATTTTATTGTTTCATCAGGTGTAGTTTATTATAAGAACCTTGTGGAATCTAGAACTAATTTCCGTGCGTTTAGGTGTTTTTACCATATATATTATTGAAAGCCGTTATAATAGCTCACACATAAGGCCCATTTAGTTTTTAGTATAATTCTGCCTTAATTCACCTAAGGAAGTGGAAGCTATCGATTTTTTTCCTCTTCTCTATTAATTCATCAGTGCCCTGAGATTAAATGAATTCATGTTTCGGTCTTTTCATAGTTGTGGAATTGCAGCGGTTTTGGGAGTTTGTGGCGGGCTTGTCCCAAAAATAATAAATCCTGACTAGCAGTAAAATGGCAATAAATCATATTCGCAAGGTAAATTCATCACAATCATACATCCTCCTGATGTACACTACAATCTCACATACCTGATGAGTTATGTTGTAAGCTTGTCATTCTCACAAGCAATTATAATAAAACCCAATAAAATTTGCATAAGCAATTGAATCAGATTTTTAAGCGTAACAACCCTTTCGGTACAAAATTCTAATCTAAGTAGTTGTTAGACAAACTAGGCTGACTCAATTATATAACTTTATATAAAAAGTTTTCCCCACAATGCAATACAATTTCTCTGCATGGTTCAGTGTCCCCATATCCAGCTAGTTACTTTAAACGTTCAGTGCAGAGACGAGATTACTGTCATCAACTGATATATTCATTAACGGCGAGAATTCTCTCTCCAGAGAACTACTGAAACCCTTCTAGCTGAATATGTAATGGCAAAACAAAGTAGTTATTAGAACAATATCTGAATTTGACTAGTACATTATCTTATTAGATGATCGAATGGAATGTAGACAACTTTCCACTTAAGGTGATCTAAATGTTTTGAACAAATATGTGACACTTTCTACAAAGGCTCGGTCGGGAGCGATATTGATTATCGTGCTAATTGTGTAAATTGTAACTCGGGTTTGGGTCATCTGAATCGTGCCTACAGCGTTCTACATATTAGAGTACCGCTAAAAATTATCGCAGTTTTACACCCAACGCATCTGTCCAGAGCATGTGTATTTGAAAATATTTAACTTTACCCATCATTTTCTAGTCAGTTGTCGTGTGGAGCACTCGCGCATTTCCGTGTATACAAATGTACCTCTAACATTCATCTAAAATGAATCGAGTAGTTATTTTTGCCGTTTTGTTAAACTGTTTTCATATCTACCATGTTTATTCCGCGAATCTACCAGGACCATTAGTGTACGTTGTAACACCGTCTCCGCGACCGCCACAAGTTGATATGGGAAGATCAGCACCTTTTTACTACCACAAGTGGATGAGCAGAATGGATACTCCACAAAACACAACGGTTACCACCACGACAACTGAGAGAACCAAGACTCCTGACTTGATATTCGCTGAGTTCGAATCCGACAACAACAATATGAAATCAATTCGAAAACTTCTTGAAAAAGAGAAAATCAAATACAAAACGACCACGACGACTACTACGAGTACAACATCGAGACCTATCTACGTTCCCGATGAAGAAGCAAGCAATGACTCGAGTTATGGTTTACCAGCGCCGTCGACGGAGAAACCTGTTAACACTGATATGACTGACTATTTTTCCTTGTATAATAATTTGTATAACTCCGGCCCAGTGTACGTGCCTTCAGTAGCATCCCCGAGTACGGCACCGTCCCCAACTACCACCACGTCTACAACGACGACGACACAAGCGCCAGTGAATAATGTGGAAAATATTTGGCATATTATTGACAGTCAGAAACATGATCAATACTCTGGTACATGGGAAGAAGAACCTATTAGTTCTGAACAAAGCCAAGATGAGGATCAAAACAAAAGCAACTCTGAAAGCGCCGACGTTCAAGAACAAGATGATAAGACTGAAGACAATGTAGGAATTGACGACAACTTTGCCTTACCAGGGTGAGTAGTGTTCGAATTATTTACATTGTTAACTAACCACTACATTTATTATGTATGTACGCAAGCAATCATATTAAGGTGTTCTCGTTACTGAATGATAAATCTGAGTGTAAGATAGCTTTTTTAACAAATACGTTTTATTTATTGTTCACAGATTTGGTACTAATCCCGGTAATGGAGCCGAAAACGAATCCAGGGCAATCCGAACAGAACCTAACATACGTTTTCCTTACATTGACTTGAAACCGTTTCAAATGAAAAATATGAAAAAGATCAATTCCTTTTCGAATGGCAAAAAGGGGAACAATATGTTTAACTTAGACAGTTTTACTGATATTAAAAATCCAGTAAGAGGCGAAGTTCAAGAATCCGCTGCTCCTGTACGTCAACAGATAGACCGTTATAATCCTGCTCAACCTTACTTGCCGCAGCCACCAACTTACGGAGCCAAAACTAAACCAGCCCCTGCCCCAGCTCCACCGCTGCCACCACCACAACGTCCTCCACAGCCCTCTGGTCCCCCACCACGTCCAATTAATGCCGTTGCAAGTCTAGTACCCCCGCCACCCCCGCCTGCACCTCAACTAACAGCGGATGATTTCCCAACCCCAAGCACGTATGAGTCTTCCCACCCTACGCACCTTCAGCTCCAGCACCGCGTCCTGTTACTTCTTATCAACCACCCAGTGACTCTGGCCCGGATCTATCTTCCAGCGATAGTGATGACGACGGACCGCCTTCGGATGTTGGGTACAGATATAAACCACCTTCTGCTCCTGCTCCTCCATCACTGCCATTTGTTCCTACAATACCTCCTCCTAGCAAACCATTTTCGGGATACACCTATAATAAACCACAGATGGCTCAAGATGACGGAGATAGTAAGCCTGACTTCCAAGGGTACCATTATAATAAGCCAGCTCCACCTTCACCGCCTCAAGATGATGGACCTAGTTATGGAAACGATGACAGCCCACCGATGATGGACAGCAAACCCGACTTCCAAGGTTATCAATATAGTAAACCAGCACCACCAGCGCCGCCACAAGATCATGGACCTACTTATGACCACCATGACGAACCACCGCCGTCGTATCAACCAGACTATCCAGAACTCATCTTTGATAAACCGCATGGAAGTTTAAAAGGTGGAGATGCCATGAAAGGCGGTGATATGGGAATGGTGCCTCCTCCTCCCCAGCCGGAGATATGAAGCCTGATTCACACGACGCTCCTATGGATGATCATGGTTTTCCTCACGATTTTCCCGGAGATTTTAAATTCCATCATGACTTTGATGAGCATGATCACGACCATTACCATTATCATCACCCTACGACGACAACAACAACGGAGATGCCCCGTGTCAACCGATACAGTTACTATTACCTCGGGAAGAAGCTTTACTATCTGCCTCTATACTTTAGTGTGTACTTCATTGTTTACGTAGGAGCTCTGATCATTAAGGCAGTACTGCGTCATAAGATTACTTATCCTAACAGCTGGAGGCCGAACACTACTACAGCCAGTTTCTTCTCAAAGAGGTCCATTGAATCTCATCTTTCTAATGAGAATCTCCACGAAATTACAGGTAGAGTCACAAGAGCTATTGCTATGGCCGCTGAAAAATATGTTAGTGACAAAAGCAAAGACAATTAGTTAAGGGTATTGAACTGTGGGTAGACTTAAGATAAAGTGTATAAATTGTAGTAATATGATATTGTTAGTTAAGGTTGTTGTGAACTGGGCACGTTTAATGGCTAATTAATGTTCCTTCTTATTTTTGAATGTCGTTCATTATCACAACAAGATTATTTTTAGTTAGAAAATTAAGTTCGAAATATACAAAAACATTGCAATCACATATTCGCATTTTATTTTTCCCGAACATTAAACTGTAGTTTTCTAGTAGTCAGTTACTATCATTTTGTCCTATAATAAAACTTCTTTGTAGGTTACATTCCAATATAATTCATCAACTTTGTATAAGAATTCAATTAAATAAAGTCGTTCATAACTTTCACAAGTCAAAAATATAGTTCATAAAGTTTACATTAACGTAGACTTCACATATAGACATCCTAATATTATTATCTGTAACAGAGGTAAACTTAAGTAAAGGCGTATAAAACTACAATATACATAGAATACATTCAAGATATTTACAAAGTGATCCGACGAAAACTGTGACATTACAAAAATAAGTACAAAATCTTTTCCACGCAGAATGTGTAAACCGCCACTGAAGCCGCCTGAAATTCAAGGAGCTTTCGGCAACATAATAATATTGTTACGCTTGATCTGAAAAGCTGTTTTGTAACCGTTATATTATGTTACAATTTTAGACGATTTTATACTATAACTTGCGATAGATAGTGATGGTAACATAACATTCTTTATTATGGTTGTTTTCAATATAACTTGTAATAAATATATTAGTTTAAGGAACTCGCCCCACCGACACCTTATTATTTTTATATTTATTTGTTTTTTGGACCTATTTAGCGTACATATGTGATCTAAAATTGAAATCAAAAGTGTATCTAAAATGCAAAACTTAGAATAATTTAGCATTATATCGAGTTATTAACATCAGGATCAGTAAAAGTATTTCAGGTGATTGCTGAGAATGGATGCGTAGTAAAAAAATTAGGCAATCTGTCAGTCAGACCACAGAGTGGCAATGTTGAGTATGGGTCGATTTGCCGATTCAACAAAGACTTTTTCACTTCTCAGCAAACCCCACTTTATTCAGATGTAAAATTCACGTTTGCTAGAGACCAAAATGGGACAGTATGTTGGTGATCTCGAATTTTCTATTGTCCGGAATCCGGATACGAGTGTCAGTGACCTCTAACCTAAAACCGTTGGATGTGATAATTTACGAGAGTTTAAACTTAAAATAAAAGGAAAATTAATTTGAATCTATATGTGAGTTTACTTTTTGTGACATAGATACTTACATAGTTTCTTTATTATTGTGTGGACGTCTGTTCATCTTGAGTAGTGTTGATTTATTTTTCTATTGTAGTTCTGGTAAAGACAGAACCATAATAGAAGGTACCTTGGGATTGGGATGGTATCGACGTTCAAAAGTCTAGATGACTACTACACCATATTTTTTATTGCAGGATACAAGGAAAACTTATTAATAGAGGACTGATAGCCTTAATTAATAAATTTCTACTAACTATAGGTACTAAGTGGCAAGCCTTGTACCTATAGTTAGAGGTTCACTTGATAGTTTTGTTTCTTGGTCAGGGTGAAATATGGTCACTAACTCTCCCCATTACATAAGAACCTAATGTTCGCTGCCTTATCTTGTTGACAAGAGAACTATTTGTTTGTGAGGTGATCTTGACTTACATTTTGCAAACAAGATTAGATATATTGATATCTCTATTGATCAACTAGCTAAGATAGTAAGATCTCAAGTTTGATACCTTGAAAATATACCTTATTCCTATCTATTTTCTTGAAGGTCCAAGAATCTATATTTAATAATGATTTTAATTAATTCGAGCTATTCCCAAATTTTAAACGTCACATAAATGAGAAAGAAATTTCTAAATCACAGACGAGGACGTATAAACGTCAGTAGGCACAAAAATGTCCTACAAGTGTCTGTTCCTCAATGGAACAGTTATGGAAAATTTTGATAAATTATTTTCTTATAATTATCGATTTACAAATGGTACATTCTTAATGACCGCGGTAATTATTATGTATTTATAAATAGTTTTCCTTGTCAGAGTACAACCTCGCTTACCCAATACCGGCTATATTTCACCGGGACTTCATGGCAACGTAAACAGTCGCCGCCACCAATTTATGCAGCTCTATAGAGAATTACTCACCTGGTGTCGGCTCGGATGCGCAACCAAATGGTGGCGCCGTCAATTCGGACGCCATCATTTGAGGTATATTTTTATATTGGTGCAGAGTGGTGTATGGACTCTAGTGTATATTTGGTAGCTTATGGATACCATGGTGGATTTACTGGTTGCACCGCCGGTTACATGTCGTCCAGGTGAAATATAGCCCTAAAAGTTAAAATATGCTTTGGTTTGTTCTTCAGATAGAATTAAATTTAAGACCTATTCTTATACCTCACGTTTCTGTAATATATAATAAAAACACCAGTAATATGATGCTTTATATTTTTTATTGATAATTAACTTTCTTAAACCTATTCTCATAGTAACAAAACCCACAAAGACATATACTATAAAGATAACTAACTACCCAGAAGAAATAATGAGGTAGCCCTACTTCGAAAATCCAGTTACCTACTTAATGTAATACATTATTTTTAGATACACCGTAACTTTAAGTTTACTTAGAACTGTCTTCGTAGCCAATTTGGGCATTTTCATTGAGTTTATAAAACAGATCCCAGAAAGCCATCTTGATTTGTAATGCCTCTTCTCAACTTTGAGTTCAGAGTCGATATTCAGGTAGTTCAACGATTCCTTTGTGACTGGCGGCCATTGTACAGGCAATAATTCTGTTGTCACCGGAGTGGGGTTTCTGAAAGATAAGAGATCTTTTAGTAAATAATATTTATGTGATATTTTCTGTGTTATAGTACCACGCCCTTGTCACTGAACTTAGGCCTGAGTTGTACGTATGATTACAGCACTTTTGTCTAACTCTAGGTATCGCCTATCGACTTAATATCAAAGTGTACGTGATGTAAAGTAATAGATACGTACCCAAATTTAACGAAGTTTGCCCATAATGTGGTGACACGATCGATGATAACTTGGTCTTCCGAAGAGGGTGGCCCCATGTATGAAATGTCAAAGAAATATCCGATCTCATCTGCATGCGCTGCTCCTGCTGCTGTTACATTTAATCTGTCTTTAACAAAATTTCTTTTACCATCATAAGAAAACACGTACTGATAAATGTTCCTCGCTCCGGCGTCTAAATATTTTTGTATAGTTCTCTGTACTGGATGATTAAAAGAGAAGTCTGAATCGAATTTAATCAATTCATTTTTGACATTTTCACTAATTTTTTCATCTCCTATATAGAAATGTCTTAAAAGTGCCTCCATTTCAACAAAACTGTCATCATCTAGATTAAAATATTGCAAATGATTGTTAAATAGGTCTAGCTTTGCAAAATCTGCGGATGGTAATGTTTCGTATTGTGCGAGACGTTCGTCACTGTTGTATCCTATAAGAATGGGCACGTTTCTGACGTTCGTTTTCTTTACATTGATGGGGTAGTCATAGATGAATTTGTCATCGGAATCAAAACCTTCTTCCACATTCGGACGGAACATTAAATCAAGCTCTGAAGCTGCTGCTATTACTAAGTTTGTATCAACCGTTGCCAGGAAAGCTAATGCTTCTTCAGCGTTAGATGTTTTAAACCAAGGTGTTCGGATAATTTTAGGGTGCTAATGTGTCAGGTTTATAACCGCCCGGGGAGATATCGCGTACCACTTTGCAAAATAACTTTATCAAATAATTTTTCCTGGTTGTACAAAAATTGTAAGTCAACTGATTCCTCCGGCGCTTTCACCGAAAATTGTTATTTTATCAGAATCACCACCAAATGCTTCAATGTTATTTTAATCCATTTTAAAGCTAATCTTTGGTCCTTTAGGCCTTGTTACCAGGCACATCAGGTGTATTTAGAGACATGAATCCATACGGACCCAATCGGTAATTTAGCGTGACTAAAATAATATCTTGATTAACAAAGTAGCGTGGTCCATACAAGTATCTGCCTGAGAATCCAATTGAAAATCCGCCGCCATAGATCCAGACAAGAACGGGCAAACGGTTTCTTGAATTGGCAGAGTTTGGTGCGTAGATATTTATGTGAAGGCAGTCCAATGTTCCTACAATAGTATTATTGAATTCTTCGATTTGTGGACATATTGCTGAATCATCGTAAGCTTCGAAGATGTGTCAAAGACCGGGTGAGGCGTAGCTGGCTAAGAAACGATTAACAAAAAGGGTTAAGGTTTTTGTATCATTTTATTATTATAAATGGAAAAGTTTGTTACTCAATTACGTCAAAACGGCTGAAGAGATCCGGATAAAATTTGGAACAGGGGTAGAATATCTGGAATAGGTTTTGGAATATGGTGCTACGGGAAAGCAGGCGATGTCGCTGGCAGAAGCTAGTAACTCAAAGGAAGCCGATACATAGGAAAATTAATAAGAAATTAAACACTTACCCCAAAAGGATTGCTCTTGTCAACAGTAGCGTATGGTATACCCATGAACATGGAGTAATCGCCATCCGATGCTCTCAAACCACGGATTAATCCAACTTTAGAATCCACTAGTGGATCAATCCTAGATAATCCACTTCCATTATGGATTAGACAGAGTATTAGAGATGAAAATAATATTTTGTATTTACATCGCCCCACATGTTTGCGGTACGTGCACAAGAAATAAAATAACTCTAGAAGTTTTACCGATTAGAGGCGACACATAAGGGCCTTGTATTTTTCTCAAGTGTGCAAAGGAGATAATAGATTACAGATTCTGATCACTACATAGATTAACAGATTACATCGATTTTGATAAAATATTGCGAAATCATTTGCCAAAGACGAGGGCGTCGTATATTAACATAACATATTATAAAATATTGGTTTCTCAAATGGTAATAGAGTCGAAGGGAATATGCCAAAATAACTTAAAAAAAAGTAAATTTGAGCCATAAATGCTTTGCCTCAAAACTATAACAATTTTTGGAAAACTAAAATCTACCTGAATACGACGGGCTCAATCACTTGTGGAAAGCCGTACACGTAACTTGTTTTATTCAGTAAAGAAATAATATTTTAGCTCTCCCTAAACTATTTTCGTTATAGTGACTAGATAAACATGGTCGTTTGCCGGACAGCCGGATGGAGAGACGGATGTCTCTGTTACTGCTGCCACCGTCCAATAAACGACAAACAAGATAACTACTATACCGACCTGGTGGACATTTTGTAAAATCTTTGCGTATTTTTTAACGTTACTCCATAATAACATTTTCTCTAGTGTCATGGTGCGTTTTACAAGCATACAATTTCACATAGACAGGTCACCCAGACCCTGAACAACAATTTGTGGACCACACAAAGAGTGTTGTCAGTACTAAAATTTATAATATCAATTTTATTCCTTAATGGAGTAAAATTGCATATGTGAAACAAATGCCACACTCACTTTTTGCCGATATTATAGGTATACATGTAATCATACGCAAGAGTAGCCATCTATCACTTGTTTATAGAATATTACTTTGCGCAGTGTCGCTGGACATGTAAATTCATCGGTATTTTCTCTGTATCCAATTTGAGACTTTTCATAGAGTTTATAAAACAGGTCCCAAAACGCCATGCGAGCTTTGAAATTTCTCTTTTTAACTTTGAGTTCTGTGTCGATATGCAAGTAATTCAGTAAATCGTTGTAACCAGCGGCCATTCAAGAGGGAGTAGTTCACTTGTTTGTGGAGTTGGGTTTCTGAAATGATGATAAAAAGTATTTATGAACTGGCTACTTCACTATTTTAACAAGGTTTGTAGCGTGGAGTGGGTCGGTTTGCATCTCAACAATCTAGATTGACTAACTCACAAAATTATTCCAAAATTGTTTTTAATTTTAAGACTTACCCGTATTTTACGAAATTAGCCCATAAAGTAGACATACGGTCGATGATCAGCTTGTCGTCAGATGTGATGTTTTTATCCATGAAAGATATATCGAAGAGATATCCAAGTTCATCTGCATGACATGCTCCTTTTGCTGATACATCAAATCTGGCTTTCAAAAAGTTCCTCCTTCCACTGTGTGCAAATTCATAGTAATATATTTTGTCAAATCCATTCTCAAGGTATTTTTGTATAGTTCGAACAATAGGATAATTATAATAAAAATCCGAATTTAATTTGCTGATTCCGATTTTACTTCTACACTTATTTTTTCATCTCCAATGTAGAAGTGTTGTATTATTTTCTGAACTTTCATAAGTTCTTCTGAATCTAAGTTGAAGTACTGATCTAGATTATCAAGAAATAAACTTATTTGTGTAAAATTTTCTGGTGGAATTATTTCGAAACTTGCAAGAGCTTCGTGACTGTTGCATCCTAAGAGGACAGGAACATTCCCAAGACTCGGCTTTTTTATGTTCACAGGATAGTCATAAATAAACTTTTCACTGTTTCTAATGTCATTTTCCACACACGGACGAAAGTGAAGGCCAAGTTCTGAAGTTGCTGCAATTAATATATTAGGACTAACTGTGGCCAGGAATGCTAGAGCTTCGTTAATGGTGGTGGCAGTGGAGCCGAGATGCTTAGATAATTTCAGTGGTACCATTGTATCTGGTTGCAACATAGACCACGGGTATAAAGCAGTACCACTTTGCATGATAACTTGGTCAAATAATTTTTCGTGACTGTACATTAAATGGAAGTCGACCGTTATGGCACCAGAGCTGCTGCCACATAATGTAATTTTATTCGAATTTCCGCCAAACGCTTCTATGTTCTCTTTAATCCACTTTAGAGCTAATTTTTGGTCTTTTATTCCTTGGTTGCCCGGTACGTCTGGTGTATCAAGACACATAAATCCATACGGACCAAGACGGTAGTTAAACGTTACTAAAATAATGTTTTGTTTCATTAAGAAACGAGGTCCATATAAGTATCTGCCTGCGAAGCCAATCATGTATATACCACCGTAGATGTAGACCAGTACAGGTAACGGATTATTTGGGCTGGCTGAGTTGGGAACAAAAATGTTTATATGAAGGCAGTCCAGTGTTCCAACTATGGTATTGTTAAATTCTTCAACTTGAGGACATATTGCAGAATCGTCGAAAGCGTCAAACACTTCCCGGAATTTGGGATGCCGCAAAGAGACCTGGAGGAAAAATGTACAAATAAGTGAATGGTCGTATCTTTCATAGTATCTTGAATGTCATGTAAAAACTATCGGTCGCGACTTTTCAAATTATTGTCATAGTAATAAAGCTCAAATTGCAACTCTTAGTTAGAATTTAAAAAATATAAATGGAAGCCCCCGGTGAAGTATCGTGCATCAGCATGACCATGGTCAATAATAAAAAATAAAAATAAAATGTTAATTTGGTGTAAAAAGCCAGATTACAAAATAAATCTTACCATTTAAAAAAAGTCTAATTTATATGTGAAATCTGAACTAGGCCCAAGCCTGTGTTTCAAGTAAAAATGTGCTGAAATATTTAAAATACAATAACATTGCTTATAAAACTAAAAATGTATGTCTAAACTAGCTTCTGCCAGCGGCTTCGCCCGCGACCCCAGGGGTGAAATGCCTATGTATTACTTCAGACCATAATCTACCTCTGTTCCGAATTTCATTCCGGTCCCTTCAGTCGTTTTATTATGACTGAGTAACAAACATACACACAAACACATAGCTAATTTCAACCATCGTCCCTACGGTTACAGCGTAAAGTCTATGGATAAGTATTGTAAACGTAAGAGAAACAAATATAAGCAGAATCAAAGGAGCTCCGAACTGCTAAGCTATCGGGAGTTACCCGTGTTATTGTGAGTCAACCATAAAAGATAGGTGTACTGTTGTGGGATATTATTTAAATATTATGTAGAACATTTTCGTCATACATGATTTCTATGTAGCTTTTACTATTAAGCCTACTCACGCGACGGAAGCTTAAAAATAGAGTATTTTTTCCCGTTTTCCCAACACTTTCCTTCACTGCTCTGCTTCTATTGATTATAGAGGTAGTGTGATGAAAAGTATATTATAACCTCCCCAGGAGTATGAAGAATAATTGTACCAAGTTTCGGTAAAATCCGTCGAGTAGTTTTTATTTCTATAAGGAACATACAGACAGACAGACAAAAATTTTACTGATTGCATTTTTGGCATTAGTATCCATCGCTGATCACCCCCTGATAGTTATTTTGGAAATGTATTTATGTACAGAATTGACCTCTCTACAGATTTATTATAAGTAGTTATAGATAGATTAAATTAAGTTAGTATCTAAGTATAACAGGTGCGCGTGTACAGTTTTATAACACGTTGAAAATTGTTGAAAATCATTGTTGAAGTCTCTAAACATTGGTAATAAGGTCTATAATGTAGTTAGTGGAGATTGGTCACCGATAAACAAACGTAAGCAAAAATAAATAAGTCAAATAATAATACAACGTAGTATAATACCTTTTCTATTTGAATTTTAATAGTAATTTTTGTTATTCTAACTTTTCAGTTCTTACGTATAACTATACGTTAGTAATCTAAGAGTGCGAAGTAATAAACTAATAAGTGCCGAAGTTACTATTGAAGTATGACTTACCCCAAAAGGATTAGTTTTATTGACAACTGCGTAAGGTATCCCAAGGAACATTGAATAATCGCCATCAGTCCCTCGTAAACCACGAATTGGGCCAACTTTAGTATCAATTACGGGATTTGTCCCCGACAGTCCACAAACATTATAGATCTGGCCAAACCATACGAGCAAAATGGCGTAATAAATGTTCCGCATAATGAGATAATCAATTCTTTCAGGATTTCAGAATCTGTTGGTGTGCTCCACTGAAACATTAAAGCGAAAACACTTTTTTTTCTATTGCAATATCTAACTCAAGCTAACACTTGACCTAGTTAGTTACTTATAAATATTAGGTAGGTAATTTTTTAAAGTAATCTGATACGCAGGTACGCACTTTAATATTTTTAGGTACCTAATTCAAATAACAAGATCCCTGCCAATCAATCATAAGTTTCATGACTAACACGGATTAATCTTTGAACAGTTTACGTCGACTCATGACGTGTGACAAAATAGCGAGATTTTAAGCAGTTTTACTTAAACTAAAAGCCACGTTGTAAGTCTTTGTAAGTAGTATAATTACATCAGAACGAATGCCACGTCAATGTATAAAACAGAATATGTTTTAGACAATCTGTAAATGTTCTGTAAGTCAGTACTACAGCCAAATGTTAAGTTCTAGTTAGCTGAACCAACATGAACCTGCATTGCGGATTTCAGTTGTCTCATGATGAAATATAGTGTTTAAAACTGCAATATCTTATCTGTGTGCAGTTTATCTGGAAAATATTTTCGTAGTATTTGCTTCTAGAAAAATGTTAAAGTAACATGGTTTATCTCAAATATAGATTATGAGAGCAGCAGATAAGTAGATCGTCAGAACACTTGATAATTACATGGTCACAAGCTCTACATTGTACTACTACACGTAGGTACTGATATGTTCAGAGGAAAAGGGAGACATAGAGAAAGAGGGAGAGAGAGAATAAGCAATAATAAATTATTACTGTTAGAAGGCCGGTGATAAATGGCTGCTTCCTTCATGACCCTTTTCGCACGTGTAAACTGTATTAATGAAAGACGAGACTGTGTCTCGATGTATTACGTTATTACAATCTATAGTCTAATAAACGATATTAATAATGTTCCTCACCTTATATTATTTTTTACACAAATATATTTTTATATTTACTGTTAAATTGAACTGTACATAACATTTATGAAGAGCACACCGACAAATGTATAAATGGTCTTGATGTTGAACTGATACTGCCAACATATTAATAAATTTGATGCATCAGGTACCTGCTAATGTATTCTTAATGTTGAAACATCTGCGCGTATCTAATGATTAAAGTAATTACATAGCAATGATGATCTATTTACGTATTGAAAATATGGTCAAATATAAGAACAAGAGGCTTGCGTATGTTCCTTGGTCCATCATACTTAAGTATTTGCATTTTATTTAAATTAGGTTCCAAACAATAACGGTAAACGCGGATAATGAGAGAAAACTGTAAAACACGTTAATTACCTGATAAAATTGATAGGAAAAAGATCTAGTAACTCGGCTCAAGCTTTCACTAGTGTGTCAACTGTACAAATTAAATTGACACGCCACTTAAGATACACGCTCGGTATGTTTACAGTATTCATATTTCAGGTGCTCCCTTTGCACTGTTAACTGGGGCGCGACATCACAAATCTGTCAGTAGCTTGCCCACCGCCGAACCATGCACATCCATTAAAAAAACGAAGTACCTTAGAAGTTTGAAAAGTGAAACTGAAGGACTATAGACCACCGATTTTTTTTGTTTTAATTTTAATTCAGTGGTTTGGCAATGGTGTCGAGAGGGGTGTTGTTGTCATGTCACGGGGTGGTCTGGTTGGGCGCAGTCGCGCTTGCGTTGTGGGCGGGCGGCGCGCGCGCAGCCTTGCGCTACGACACTGCTACGCCGTACACGCCGCCCTACAACAAGTACAGATACATACCGCTACAGTGAGTGCCTTTTTGCTATAATTTTTATTGCATTTTTATGTAAATATAATAAGTTTTATTTTTATTGTAATTATTATGTTATGTAAGAGCTTTGTAAGTAATCCATCGTAAAGGTTTGGAATTACTTTAACATTGTCCACAAACATATTTACTATTTATAAAAGAGTCTAAATGATATATTATAATATCTGTTCTGTGAAAACTGCATTATTATGAAGATTAGTGATGTTTTCATTTATGGCCTATATTAAAAGCAGCCTTTGCTTAATTCGTCCTAGAATGAAAAAAATATGTCCATATTGCCATTTTAACAACACCTGATTATAGGGACTACCCTATACTAACTATACTATTATTTATCTGATTATCTCGGTTATTTAAGGATTCAATGTAATTTTTATAGTGTTGATGAGATTCCCGAGGCATCTCTGTCGTCCCCCGCGGAGGAGGAGTCGTCCAGTAGGATGCCGATCTCGGAGTTCATCCTGACAGCTCTACGGACTGCGCTGGACGTAGTCAGAAATGTTAACAAGCAACGAGCCATCGCAGCCGCCACCAGCGCCACCACCAACAGCACCACAGCCGTCGCGGTATGTTACCAGTTCTGTCACCTATCTTTTTATAAAAGTTTAGTCAGAATTATAGGGATACCTAATGAAAATGTCAATCATAAAAGAAATATCCATCGTCGTTCGGGAAAGTAAAAGTTATTTGCTAAAGTTAGAATTCACTTGTGTGTAGTTAGTCGCCACTTTTGAGTTAGGTTTAATATCTATATGAACTTCCTATTATATCATTACATTACAAAAGGTATTCTATATATTTAGAATGATGGTCTCTACCACCATTTTTACCAAATACCTGTTGCCGCAAGTGTAGGATGTGCCCTTTGCCCTTTATCACAGGTAAAGGACATGTTATATTTTTAGTTACATTGGGTAGACATCCGTAATTTTATATGTTATCCTACTTCTGCCTATTTAACTTTTTCGATAAACTGAAAGTGTACCTACCTTAATAGTTTCAAACACGAGTTTTTAACATAAGTACCATTCTATAAAAAAAATGTGTGAATACTTAATTAAATAGGAGTAAAAAGACAATAATCAAATTAATTAATAATTAATAACATTGGTGCAGTTCACCTAATTAAAATACCTAAGGCTTTTGCGGAACATATTTTATGTTCAAATTCAGCTGTGATATCATCAGAGTGTATAAATTTAAAGAAATTGTTACCATACTAAAAAACATCTTCCTACACGTGCGGTCAACAATTAAAATTACCGCAATGGTCCGTGAAGACATCGAGCAACTGAAACAGTCTGAACATTCCAATCGCATGTGGGGAATTTAAAAGAAGGTCATAATACGGTATATACTGAACTAGGCAAATTGGTTGAAGTGGGTGACCGACTCGATGGCGCTAACTAGACGCCTTAGACAACCGTGCCTTGGTTGACATATGTGTGTAAATGGAAATATAACGACTACTTAGCTTATTTCTTATTGTCGTCTCCATTCAAGTTTTTCGTTTGTTGACATGTTACATTTTTTAATGGAACCTTTGCTACTGTAGTAACAAAAGAATAAACTGATTTGGAATTGGAACTAACGAGTATCAACTTTGGCAGTTCGTAAAAGTTAGATATTATAAAATCCTAATTCTTACATTTCAAATAGATGTATATTTTTTATCATTATAAAATTTCTGTGAGGAAAGAAGCAAGTTCGAGAGAGACCTTGCATTAAGGTAATACTTTGGAGTGTAAACTATTGAGTTTGAGAAAAACTCGATACTTATAATATTCTACGAAAGAATTAATTTTGTAGAAAAAATCACTAGAAAATTCCCGAGAACATATATTCCAAAAAACTATTTACTGGCATTCGAAATTAGTTGAGTTGAATTGCAATAGATTTTGTAAAGCTATGTTTAGTCTGTTCAAGCAATTATTTTTGCTATATGGACAGAAACCTGAAAGTTGTCTTAGGTAAGGTATGACTTGATAAGACATCAACTTGTTATGTTCATAGCAAGTACTTGGAAAAGTTTCTTAGCAACTTGTCGCAAGTAGTTTACAGCTAAACAAGAAAATGGCTTGCTATGAAAGTAACGAAGGCACTTCTCAACATTACGACGATACTCACATAATTATGTATTTTATCATTATTTTCATACTTTTTTTATAACATAAATCCCATTTTTTTTAAAAACAAGCTATTTCATAATCTCCATATTAACATTTCCAGGTACGACGAAACAGGACGAAGCCTAAAAATGGGACAGTCGGAACTGGTCGAGGATTCGAAGACTATTATGATGAAGACCACCACCACCATTACGAGGAACCCACCACTACTCCTAAACCTATGAAGCAAAAGGCCAGATACACCGACCCTTGGGCTGGATACTACGACTGGATTATCAACGAGGGTTCTTTCAAGTTCTGGAGTGTCTTCCAGGTAAGGCTTTGAACATGCTTCAAATAATCCCAAACTAGTTTTGAAGTTTTCGTCAGTCAATCACTTTGCAAAATGATAGTAGGGAGCTAGTTGGTAGTAGTAGTAGTAGTTTGGTTTAGCAAGCGTTCAAGAATTAAGATTGGGCAAAATAAACTATGTAAAACTTCAAAAGATGATTGATCGCTCTACGATATTTTAAATCAGAATCGGTACGCTCATGTTTCAAGATGCCAATACAGACGAATAAATCTTGTATGTACAGATATCGTGATCAATTAAAAAGTCGTTCCATAAAATTATTTAATTACAGCTTCTAAACGCTTACACCTTGTTTTTGACACACGTCATCTTCTTCTGAATGCGCAAAAATAGCCTTGACCTCAAGCGCAGCGTAGCGCATCGTAGCGCGAAAATCGTTGTTTTATAGTTTCGCAACAAAAAATGATAATATTACGTTGTCATTTATCGTTCGGGCGGTAGTTAGACGACATAACATTGACATAGTTATGAATGTAACCATGTGATGACCGTCGCTACTCGCGACAACATGCAGTACCGAGACCTTGCCATTGTCGCTACTCACTAACATTTCCTAGATCAAGATTTCGACAACTATATGACTGCGTGTTTAGACAATCAAAAGGCTTGTTTACATACATAATGGTCATATTTCCCACCATTATCAGCATGTATCTACTTAATAAGAGCAATCTGAGCAATTATTGACAACGCATTGGCCGGTGGTCGAGACGTGATATTATTTTCACGGCCGCAGCTTAAGTGCTTCTTCTTTTAAATGTTTCCTGATTTTTTCAACTTCAACGATAACGCTCATGTTGCCAGTAAAGGGAAGATATATCTAAAAACTTCCTCCATTACAGTTCGGAGGTAATTATTAAAAGAGCGTCTAAACAGTCTTTGTCTAATCAAAAGAAAAAAATAAAATTCATTATGTAGTTAATTAATACAATTACTATTTTGTTAGCAAAAATAATAATTAATTTATATTTTTTGTTGGCATGTAACACAATTTCATTAAAACCTGAGTACCCATATATTGCTAAGTTTACGTAAGATTTTAAGCGGTATTCTGTAAACACGACGTAACGTTTCAAAATGGTGGTCACGATCGGGAGGCAGGGTGGAGGGAGGATGTGAGTAGTTCCGGCGGAGCGCGGCGTTCGATGCTCGACGCGTGCGGGTCGCGGTAATGACCCACCGCTTATTGTGCCTGATTCACATTCAGATCCACTACAACTTACCACATAAAAGCAGATCTTCGTAAACAGATACATTATTTAGCCACTGACGGATGTTTCAATACTTTTCATTCAATAGCATGTGGTTTTGAATGTCAATGCTTCTAAGCCGATGAGCAATTGAATCGCTGAATAAAACGTGGGAATTATTTGAGCAGCCTTATTGGATTGTTGCAAACGATCTTATCTGTTTGTGGTTGGTGAAATAATCCTTTAGATTTACGCACTTTCCCTCAAACGAAGGTTCAGGACAATGTTTAATAACAAGTCTTTAAAAAGACTATTCGACCTTGTCTTAATTAATAAAACCTGAGTTCTTGAGTCCATTAATTAATTGCAATTGTAATGTGATTATAGGCCTATTGATTTCCAATTTATTAACATGTCTTTGTTAATTTCCAGCTGTTCACGGCAGCTCTGCTTCTGTACGCGTGTCTGTCCGCCATCTACTACGCGAAGTTCAACCCGATCTTACCCGACTACGACAGGGAATACGACGACTACTTCCTCGAACGTACCGTAGGAAGAAACGCGAGGAGTTTAGACTCTTTAGAACCACACGAATTACCTTCAGGACACAGTTGGATAAATCCTAGAACTTTCCAATTCATACTGGACGCCATATCAAAACACTACGAAGAAGAATAGAGAAGAAACGAAACTTTAGTGCTTATATTAGTTAAGTAGTAAGTCATAAATTGATACGGGGTAACGACGATTTAAATAGGATATTTTTCTTTACTAATGTAATGGAAAGTCGATTTGGGATAAGGATAGAATATGCTGGCAAATGCGTTCAGCATTTGTTAGAGTCGCTGCCATACTGAATATCCTTGTTACCCTGAATTGAATTATGTGAGAATTTGACTGAAACATGCTCAAATAAGGGTCCTGAAATATCACCCTAATCTAGAAGTAGGTAGCCCTGACTTGACTGAACTTAAATCCTAAGTTCTCATTGAGTCGGGTCTTTGCTTCGGTTAACATTTATTTATTCTTAGTTCGTAAGGTACATTATGCTCAATTTTAGTTCCTAGAAACTTCGAAATAAACTAGCAATATAACAAAGGAAGTTTTATTAGTAAGTTTTGAAAGTGTTTTATTGTCAAAGTACGCGCGGGGAGCGTAAAATTGTGTTATACGAGGGTCTAAGGGAGCCACCATGTTTATGTGTTGTAACGCTCGCACTGTGCGAGAATAAACGTTCAGTGAAACCTCTGCGACTTAGGACTGACGTGTACAGCCAACTTAGGACTTACTTAATTTGAACGCTTGCCAAATTAAGGGGTCTAAATTGACCAAATATTTGTAATTGATCAATCTAATATCTTGATGAAGCAGGTAAGATTACGAGTAAAGCTAGTTAGACAATACAAAATACACTTTCACAACAAACTCTTGTCATAGATATTTACAGCGTAATGAAGGGATTGTTAGAGCTCTTGTCTGTAATATTTCATAACTTTATAATTGGTTCACAAGTGGCTGTAAACTCATCGTTAACTTATTGACATTGTCGTGTCTCTCAACGAAAGTGATGAAATATTTTCCATTGAATCTTCACGAGAAGTGCACAGATAATTTACTATTTAACTAATGTTTTCACATAATTTTTATGTTTGTAACATTTTTATTGTTAAGTTAAAGTAATTATGATCAAGTTTTTATAATATTACACTTAGTAACTTCAATGTTATTATCGATTACAAAGTGCTATGAGCCATCGTTGCAGAATCCTGCCGATATAACTCTGTATTATTTTTATTGGTATTTTTAAAGTCGTGATCTCGCCTGCACTTGTGTGCGTGGATATTTACGCGGTGCGGCTGTGCGGGCAGCGTCCAGGGTTCGATGCCCGGCCGCGACCACTCGCAGCCTAGGACATGTACAGGATGTCGCTATTATACTGCCTTTACTACGACTTTCCTTGCTTATTGCTACTTAAAATACCTTGTTTTATTACGTCAATCTTAAAAGGGAAAATGTTCATGTAACTAATTGAAGATATCTTCTAACCTTTAAGTTTAATTAGTAAATGTTAGACTATTTTAGTGAATACTTCGGGGTCTTGACTGTGAAGTATTGTTTGAGAAATGAGAGCAGAGCAGTACAAAGTCTTTGTAACAGCGATACTCTATAAATTAATAAGGCATCGAGTGCCACTCAAACTGTAACACAAGTTTAGATGACGCAGCGAGATTCTCCGTAGTAATTAACTGGCAAGTATCTAGTATCTATGAGTTCACCATCGTTCAAGTATGCCTTTATTGTCTTCCAAGCTAATTTAACATAGCTAGGAGTATACATGTTTTTATTATATGTTGCCATGTATCACGGCCTTGTCTGCAGCGCAGTGCTTTGATATGTTGATGTGTACTACTCATTGCTATTGTTACAACAAACTGAAATTAATTTTAATTATTCGTTATGTATAACGTTAAAAACATAATTGTTGTGGTATGCAAATATTTGACATCGAACTTGAGTTTTGATTTAAAAGTATTGTTCGATTTTTTGCTCTAATCTTTATATTTTAATGGTTGGTTTGCTTCCTCAGAAGCGCAACACCTCAATATGCGCCATTTGTCATTTAAATTCTAAGGAGTCCGACATTGAATGTCGGTAAATTGTATTGTATGTGACAGTTGAACGATGTTGGTCGGTAGCTCGCGTGGACAAGTGTTCGCACTTGCCATACTGAATCACCCGACGATTTGCGGTTGGTTACGGCTATTATCTATGTAGAACGTTACAATTAGTGCGAATCTATTAGAAACAGCTACGGCCGATAGATAACGTTACTATAGATAGATACAGATCTTAAGGCGATTAATTAAGCAGTGTAGCAGTCAGCGGCTCACCACAACACAGTTTCCGAAATGTTCCTGTGGTCTGATGTCCATTGGCCGCGTTCATATTTTGCGCTACAATTACCGTGGAGCCGTACGTGTTGGTATGACCCGGCGGAGTTGCGTGGCGCGCTGGTTGCTCGGCGGCGGGTGGTTGCGGCGGTCTCGCGCCTGCGGTCGGGTTGTCGCGCCAGTTCAACGTTCAAGTGCAGCGCGGCCGCACATCCCAACAGACCGTAAAGGTGCGCGCGCGCTGATGCCTCATGCCGGTCGACATCCGACATCCGAACGAATTATTCAATACTATCTATTAAGTCCGCAGTTGTTGTAACTCTCAAGTAATAAACTGACTTTGTACAAGTGTTCTGAGTGTTTGTTGACACGTTTCCGTTGAAACTGTTGTCCTGAACGTGCTGTGCTCTTTTTGGGGTCGAATAAGAAGGTAAATATCTTTTTACAGTTACTCTCGATACAGTTAAGATAACTACGACATCGGTTAAGGATATTATCCTGAGAAAGTAGCATATTATAATGTTGTCCATTTACCTAGCGTCGGATATTTTATTGATAAGTAATTATTTTTGTAGACAGACCTTTAATAGTAAAGTTTACAGCTTATTTAAAGACTGCCGATATATTTATGTGGTTTCTATATCGACAGGGAACTGTATAAATTATAACGCATATTATAATGTTTTGTAATTTCAAAGGAACCTACGAGACACTTAACAAAAAAAAATAGACATAATAAAAACAAAAAAGGTGACATTGAAACGTAAATTTATTAACATACGCCAATAACAAAAAACGTAAACCCCAACACAATAAATATAAAATGTCACCAATTTACTAATAATGACAAATTCGTCAAGTACACCATTCGAACAAAATATGCACCAGCGATAACATTCGTAGCGCACGAACTGTGCCTTAAAAAGACATCAACGATGCAGATTCGTGCAACCTTATGATATTTTTACATTTTCAATTGAGAATCAACAATAAATCATATTTGAATTCAAATTATGATAATTTTATCATTTATTAGTATTCACTGATAACGTATCTTGCTACTGTATTATGCATTGAAACAATAGTAGGAAGACTCTACTATATGTAAATAAATAAATGTATTTTTTTAGATTTTTTTAGTTATAATATTTTTACTACCTGGTTTGTTGTTTTGACGATTGGAAGAATTATTTTTAAATATAGAACTGAGATTGGCCTGCATGTTAAGAAAAAATATTAGATTACAGGTATATATTGAAAAAAAATTGGACTTGTTGAATTATTTTTTTCCATTTATATTTATTAGGTTTCTCTACGACTGTGCGTAGCGGTTCCCGGACGAAGTGACATACACAAATTATTGTTTCGGGTCTGGGTGTCATGTGTATGTAATCTTGTATGTTTGTAAACGCACCTATGACACAGGAAAGAACCCAGTAGGGAGCAACGATGTATAAATAAAACAAATAATAATAAAATGCATTTATCAAACTTTTAACACATAAAACTTTTATTAATGTTTATAATGACATGGTTCAACATTATTTTAATCAAGTGCTAAGTAAATAAGCAACGGTAATTTAAGTGTCAATCGTTCTCAGTAATTGACATGAAGGTATCGTTAGTAAAATTATATTCACAGTTATTTCATTAAACGTTATTAAACGTTGTACAACCGGTTATTGTTGTTTAACGAGAATAACACTTTGCTAACTAATTATGTACTATGTACTATAACTATAACATTTAATGTTAGAGGATTATAATATTACTATAGAGCTGTAGTCATTTGTGAAAAATGAAGCGTTTTAATTATTAACTTAATTAGTGATTAGAATCTTTATACCTCATTGGTAAGGTCGCAAGTTCGCTGTCTTAGGTTTTTAATCCATTAGGTTCGTTTTTTATTTTATGGGGATTTTAATCGTAATAGAAGCATTTGTGGTATTCCAAAAAAAGAGTACATATTTGGTCTTGTTTTGTTTGGTCTAAAACAGAATTTTACTTATCATAATTAATGTGATACTTTTAATTATAAATCTCAATTCATTAAAGATATTGCAATCATTTTCCTAAGAACAAAATCTTACATTATCTCCTCAAAAATATGTAAGCGATTGTTTGATCAACAACAATGGCTGCCCAATAAGATGGCTCGCACTTACAAAGGTTATTTAACGGGATATTTAGTTTGCTATTCAAGTAATACGCGTCATTTCTGACAACAGTTCAATACCTTCAACTACAGTTATACACAATATTATTAGTGAATTTATCACGGAGAGTTGAAAACAATATCGTGACTCCAAGCATTAAAAGTAATTAATAATCTTTAAATATATTCTCTTGTAAAATAACGGGCGGCTTATCTTTTTATCATGGATTTTTTTCCACACATTTAAATGGAATTTGCAGTACCTATAGTTTCTTTTCGCCGGTTATGTCAGTTAGACATCAGTGACAAAAAGAACGTACATACACGAGAATGGTATGATAAAAATCAGATGCCTTTTTCGATAAGGATAGTACTCGTATACCATGACGTTTTTAGGATTCAGACTTGAGAACTTTATTATTTAATTTTACGATCAAAAAAGGTGCAATACTCTATTAACATATAATTATAGAACTAAAACTAAAAGCGCATAAACTTGTGCTAGCCCTTTAGAAATTAACAAACGTGGTATACCTAAGGAGATAAATTATATACGACGTTAATAAATAAATTAAACCTTACTCACTTTCTTTAGTAACAAAAAATAAACAAGCTAAGAGCTTGATTATTTT